CATTGCAGAGAACTCAGAAAGATCACAACAGAATGTTTTTAACACTATAGATTCCTATTTAGAATCCTTGGATTTATCTAGTTAGGTCGTTGAGGTCCAAACTTTCTGCCAGGCATGCCATAAATTAACCCTCCCCAAGTGCTACTCTGATCCTCTTTCTTTGCTGCACTTGTTGGAAGTATACCATGGGTTGGTCATCCCTGGCTTATGTGATCTAGCCATTTGATGCAGCTTTTATTTCAGAGGTGCTGAGGTGCTGCTTTTCCAGTCAACTGAATGGGACCACTGATATGTAACATCTTTTTCACAGAACAATTTCACTGTAAACAAATTCATGAAAACTGTAACTGCAAATGTAGCAGCTCTCATTAAATATTTACCATACAGCTTATTTTGCACCTGACTGAACTGAAGCTTTTAACTGCAATTGCAGTTATATATAGTTTATATTAAAACTATATATTAAAGCTGTCAATTAATTGCCTTTAATGTGTGTGATTAACCCATTAATTGGTTCTTGCATTAAAGTTTTTAACACACTAACTGTGCACTGTCACTGCTACACCTGGGTCACCCAGCGGGGCAGTGGTAGCAGTGCAGAAGACTACAGGGCAGCCAGACACAGGCTCCAGGCTGCTGCAGCAAGAAGGCCAGGGGGAAGGAGGGCGCACACCCAGACACAGAGACACAGACACATGAGCAGCTGCAGCATGCATGTGGCCAGGAAAGTAGCCCAGTGGCATGTAGAGCAGCACCCAGCAAGTAAGTGTGTGAGTGGAAAGGGGTGGAGGGAGAGGGAAGGCGGGGCAGATTGAGGCCCCCATGATGAGGGAGGGAGTGGGGCAGGGGCTGGGGTGAATGGGGCCCTGGGGCCAGGGTAGGTTATGGGATGGAGCCGCAGATAGCTTGTCAAGGGGCATGGTTCCCTGCTGCTGTGAGCCACTCTGGTGGAGGCATGGGGGGCCCCCTGTATTGTGTGTGGGGTGGAGGTGGGATACCCATTGCAGGCTGGGGCTCTGCCCTGCTGCCTTTGCCCCAGGAGCCATGCAACACCATGTTGTGCCTCCTGCTGCTGGACAGGCAGGGTGTACACGGCTAGTGTGCAGTGGTGGGGAGCCGAGCCCCTGGATGAACCACCCATGGCTCTGTCTCACAACCTGCCCCAGTCTCGGGGCCCCATTCGCCCCTGCCGCCCTCCCTCCCTCCTTGCTGTGGGGGCTTTGATCTGGCCCCCCTCTCCACCACTCTTTTCCTTTCCCCCAGCCCTTCCACAGACTTAGCTGCTGCTCTACATGCCACCAGGCTGTGTTCCTGTAGGGTTACAATATTTCCAGTTAGAAAAAAGAGGATACCTGGGGGGTAATATGATTGGGGTGGAGCAATGATATCCCTCTGCCTTGCCTCTGCCCCTCACTCCCAAGACACAGCCCCCCCAAACCCTGCTGCTGCTCCTCACTCCTGACCCACAGTACCCCGCATCCTGCCAGGGCATGCGGGGACAGCTCCCTCCCTGGGCTCCAAACCCCACACACACTTGCACAGCCCCCCACAACTTCACAAATTCCCCCCACACACATCTACCCCAAACCCATCCCCACAACCATACAAAGTACCTGCATAATTTTGAGTTTTTAGCTGTGCAATTAAAATCGCAATTAATTGTTACAGTTTTTTTCATTACACAATTAATCGTGATCACATTTTTTAATCGTTTGACAGCCCTACTATATATGGAACTTTCTTTCTGCTTCATTACATCCAAATTTTTTTCTTAACAGTTTGAACTTAGAGGTTTTTAGAATGTTGATTTTTTTTCATCTTTCACAATATTAAAATATAAAAATGAGATGTTCTCAGTATACTATCAAATGAGGAAAGACCACATATTTTATTTATTTTCTACTTTACAAAGCTGAGAAGTTGTCTCTGAAAATCAGTGAAGATTCTTTGCACACGAATAATACAGAAGACTTAGAAATGAACCTACAAACTAGAGAGAGGAATCTAGAAGACTACTGGAAGAAAGCAAAAGAAATTTTACACAGACTAAACTTGCTTGAAAATGAGCATTATGAGGTTTGGCCAGTTTATTCCAGTTGTTATAAACCTAAGCAGTTCTTTTCCCTCAAAGTTATGGAGAAATTTGAAGCAAAGCATTAGAAAATTCTCAATATGAGCTATAAATGGGTGGGGGGACGGTCATCTGAGAAACTGCACCCTGTAACATTTTACTTTAGCATTATAGTAGGTTAGAGGTAGAAGAAGCACTCGGAAAGTGGAGTGAATGCATGAATAACATCCTGTTTTTAATATTTTGAGAGAGACTACAAAATACATTGTAAAAAATCTGGTTCTGTAGGATTTAGTATGTGGTCAATTCAGGTTGAATACTGTGGCAGAAAAATAATACCCAGATTTTTAAAAACATTCATACATCTTTTGAATTTACCATTTCTACAATTTTGTGGAAATTCTATGATTGTACATCTGTGGTAATTGCATGCATATATGTGTACTCAAGTTCAGTGCCCAAATACCTCTCTCTCTCAAACATACTTTTTTTTGCTGAAGTTCTGATAGACTTCATTTGAATTGATATAGCAGATAACTTTCATGCTTTATATGAAAATAGAAAGTATTCAGTATAGGTTTAGAATTAACAAACAATAGTTCTTATGTTTAAAGGATACTTGCAGAAGCTTTCATACCAGGGAAACAGAACATAGTAATCAAAAGCAGGATCTAGTAAAAGCTGTAGAGCATGTGCAACATAAGGAAACAACGTGGAAAAAGAACGTGTGTCAAAAGTTCTGTAATCAACGTGATAGAAATGGAGATGAAAATCCCAAATTATGCCAGACTGACAAAACCAGAAAACAGTGCTGTGAAATATCCCCAGAATCATGCAAGGAAATCTGGAGGCACGTTGATCTGACTGTAATAGAAAGTGATGCTGGAATACATACACACAGCCCATTAATGGTACAAAATTCACATTGTGTTGTAAAATGCTGTATTTTCATTCACGTTATTCTTTCAGTTGTTTAACATCAGGGCTGTAGTTTGAGACTTCAAACCAATGTGAGTTTAACTGGATGTCATCTATTGTTGTTCTGCTTTTATACCATTGTTTCCACTATTAGACTGTAAATTCTCAAAGTACTCAAGTTTAACATGGATTTTTGTTGTTCTTGTGTTTTTTCATGAGTATTTAGTCCCCTTCAGATGCAAGTATTATAGTGGTCTGTAATTGGATCACAAGCTAGTTTAGGATTGACATTTATCAGTATTTAGAACTGCTTGGGTTTAGGATTTGCATAGTTTACATCCCAAAATTCTGCTATGTTACTGTTCCTTTAAATTCTTTAGCACAACCTTGCTGCCTTTCGTGTTAAGTTTCATCTCTAAATGGACTCTCTTGCTTCTTCTGGTCTGTCCCTCTAGCCCTGCAGTAGAATTAATTAAACCTTTAGCATTCATTGAAATTTTTGCAATATAGGACAGAACAAGGAGAAAAATATTTGTTGATGTACTGCCAGAAGCAAATATGCCAACAGCATCGAAATACCATGATGTAGATGCCAGTGATCAAAAAAGTCATGTGGATGGACTGTGTAAAAAAATGCAGTGCCCACAGATGAATTGTCAGTTGCATGATTTAGTCAGTACTACAGCTGTAAATGATAAGTCACGAAAGAATGGAATATTAAAAGCTGTGAATCCAGTAAATGCTTCTATGGGGCAGAGTGAACAAAATAATACTTTATATTCAGTTGATAAACTGCAAAGAGGTAGTGTGCTGTCTGATCTTCATGGGCATGAAAGAACTGCTTGTGAGAGGGAACAGTCTCTTCTTGAAACAAGGTACAGTATTTGATGTTTTAAGAGTAAACATTTAAAACTGCTATTAATTTCCAAATCAAATAGCATTTTTATTCAATTATTGTTACTAATTAAGCCTTTAGTGCAGGAGGAAGCAAACAAGTTTTTGTTTACTAAAGCTTGTAAAAAAGCTATAGTTTCCTCAGGTTGCCTTCTCTGAGGAATTGTGTTAGATCTTTAGGCTTGGAAGGATTCAATTTTCACTGATAAACAGCTATTTCACCTCACACACAGACTGTCAAAAAATATATTTCCATCAGTAATCATCAAAATTTATAGAAAAGGGTCTGTAATTGGAACCCTTACCCCTGTTACCGGACAGCAGAGAAAGACACAGAATGTGGGTGGGTGGTGTTAAGAGGAAAACAGTGCAATTAGCTGCTGTTTCTTGCCTAATGACTCATCTGGTAAGCAAGCAGGGCTACTTAAACCCCTACTCAGAAACCAGGGGACAAGAGGGGAGGGTATCAGTGGCTCCAGCCCAGTGGCAGCAGGGCCCTGTCCAGGCCAGGCAGGCTGAGGCTGGCCACCGCCTCTCCCCATGGTCCTAGAGCTCTTGGAGTGCCGTACTACCCTCCTCTTGTGTCCCGTACCTGCCTGGCTCTTTCCTGATAAATTAACAGAATGATTTAAAGCAGGTATAATTCAATGATTTATAGATATTTACTACTTATATTTTGATGTGATTTTTATAAAGCTTTTAACAGTATACTGTCATTACTAAATTGTCTACTCCCCACATCCCTAATTTTGCACGATCCTGAAACTTGAAATCAATAAAAATCAAAATAAATGCTTAAAAGCAAACATTGATTTTAGCTGTGAAAATATTAAAAAATAAAAATTGAATTCTGCCAAGCCTAAATATCTTTGACATCTCACTTCAGTGCAGGAAAGGAAAACTTTGATTTTGTTGTCTAGATCAAATGGTTACAGTAATCTCAAATGAGTTTATAGTTACTAGTTAAAAATATAACATATTCAAAAACATAAAATCCATAATATTTTTGTCCATTTGTACCCCATTTTAATCACTTCACTTCTATTGTTATATTCTGGTATGATTATGCATTTATTCTATTTCACATTTACCTACTTGGTTGTTTTTTTAACATGCCACTCTATATCTGATGAAATACACAAGTGTCTCACTTTTATGGTCTATCATTTCATGGTGCTTTCTTGTAGTAGGTTTGCAATGGGTAATATATATATTGCAGAGAGCTTGATGTTGCACATGCACTAATGTCCTGAATGTATTGTTCAAAGAGTATTTTGAATTATACCTATGTGACTCCCACTGAAGTCAGTGGGTTCCTTTGAGCAGAATTTGACCAATTACTGAAATCCAGAATATGTATGATATGTCTCACTATCTAAAATAAACCTTCTAATCATTTGCCTTCAGCAGGCAGACATGCATAACTTGTTGTCAACCTGGAAGGACAGATTTTAGAGCTGCTCTACAAGAAAATTTAAATTGTATTGTTTAAATCAGTGATGGCCAACTGTTTTGTCAGGTTAACCACAGATTACCCCTGCACCCCCCGCAAGTGCCACTCTGATCCCCTTCCTCTTCCCAATCTGCAGCTGTGCTCTCTTCACCCTTCTCTGTGCTCCCTACCTGATTGTGTTGCTGTGCTTTCTGCATCCTGTCTATCTGTTGCTTTAGTGTGCCTGTCCTTTCTCTAGTCTGCTCCGTGCCTATATGTAGGCTTCCCATGCCACTTGTGTTAAGCTGGTCACCCTTAGCTTAACTAATCAGAATTGAAACTTTGTTCTGTTCTTATTTTCCTTATTCCCAATCACCTGATTAGGAAGAAAATGGATAGTTAATACTTGAGTTCTGTCACTCGCAGCTTTATCTTGATTTATATATCAGTTTCATAACAAACTTTTCTTCTTCCTTTTGTTTTTCATGGTTATCTTTCCTACCCTTAAATAGCAAGACAGTGAATGGTAAACTGCTAGGGTAAATAGCAAATTCCAATACATTTTAATTACATGTTTTGAATATTCCCAAAAAACAGGCTAAGGGATATGCAGTGTGTTCTTATTTACAAATTTACTTCAGTTCTCTTCTGTCGTCTTGCATTTTGAATATCCATTTTTTTAATGTGACTCTCTGGCTCCTGCTCCAGCACGCATTGTGCTTTGCTTTCACAGCTACCATAAAGTTCTCTGGAGCATGGAAAGTGGCCCATAGTTTATGTAACCTATGTTCTGTTTTCATTACTATTTAGGACTTAGAAAGTTACAATTTGCAAGAAAGTTTTGCTTTCTAAACAGTGTCATCCAGAATGTATCTTCCTGGTAGCAAAGATAACCATGTTTCCCCTCTAAAAGTTGCCATAAAGATATGTCGACACCTCTCCTACCCTGGCTATTTGGGGCAATTAACACATACTAGTGCAGTTTCTAGAACTTGGCATTTTACCTTTTTGAATGATATAGGTTATAGCCATGTTGGTCTAAGGACAAAGGCAGACAAGGTTTTTTGGGTAAATCTGATATCTTTTTGAGAAGCATTTAATGATAGGCTGAAGATTAATTGTGTTGTGAGCTTTGGTTTTAAATTAATAATGTATCGATCTTTTCAGTGATCATTTGTTTAAACAACCAGCACTGACTCTTAACACACAACAGGCACAAATAGCAGGTAAAAGCAACTGAAATATACTTCTTTTACAGATACAGTTGTGTTTAATGGATTTTTGTTAGAAATAAAATATGATCAGTTTGTCTTATCTTTACAATAATATTATATGAATCGAGTGAATATTCTACTGTGTATAATTTCTAATTCTATTATGTAAAGTATTCTAGAATTACTACAAGTATTTGGATGTTTCAATAATTATATGCAATTATACAGTGAGAATATTGTGTTTAGTTTCTGTGTTCTAATATATTTTACTTATATTTTGTTTGTTTTTCTAAAAATAAATTTGAACATTGCACATTACACAGGATTGGCCTAAATAACCATCTTGTGCTGTATCTGAAAGCCAGTTTAAGTTGATGGTAAACCTATTAGTAGGTCAGTATATTTACCACATTTTGACCTGTGCACTAAGTATTACATAAACTAGAAACCTAATCATGTGAACTAGCATATGCATAACTTCAAACCTATTCATAGTTCTAAAAGACATTAAAGTTTAATTTACTTGAGTTAAAAATGTCTCAGTTACTTTAATGCAACTCAGTTGAACTCATTGCTTATCTAGGCTTCATTGTATGCAATAAGCTGTAGTCATCTATGTGCTTACACTAGTTTTACCTGATTTCACTGGAACTACTTCTGTGACTTCAGCACAGGCAGTATCAAGTTATAGAGGGTTAGTGCTGATCTTTGATTCATAATCACTTCATGTATTTATTTCATGGTTTAGATGTCATCTCTACTCATGATTAGCTTACGGACATATTACAGAAGAGTTACTTAAGTATTTGTTATATTTATTGTTATGTTAGAAGAGGGCAAATTGTCCTCTAACTATGCTGATATATATCAAGAATAGGCACTGCTCTAATGAGCTGGGTTTTGTAGGATCAGAGTCTAAATTTGATATAAAATACAATTGGTCTGATATCTTACTTCATTACATTAGTATGCGGAGGTATATAAGGTGAAACTGGTGTAATCATGTTGAAAAATAAGACTCACTGGGTACAATGAAGCAAAGGTAAGCCTGAATTCAGTGGAGTTAATCTAGATTTACACCAAAGTAATTGAGATGCTCTTAACCTGGGTAATTCTGTATGATTTTTAATCATTGTAAATTAAATATCTATATGTCTTCTAAAAATATATAAAAAAAAAATTAAACTTACATAGGCCATTGAAAAATGACTGCCAAAAAGATAGTTCACCTTTTTGATCCTAGTGAAGTGTGTGTGTGTGTGTGTATGTGTGTATATATTTCTAATTTAGATCCACTTCCACTTTGTTCAGGTGGAAATAAAGAAATAAGTATTCAGACTACTTCTGCATCTCCTAAAAAGTCAGATTTAAGGTGTATGGGTAAATATTTATTTTAATCTTTTTCCTATGATTTCATAAAACATGTTATGCACAATCAGAACTATAAATAAAATGAATCAATGAATTGATATTACCACTGATCTGGCACATCTACAGTTTAAAACTAGAGCCTTTAATCATGCCCCCAGTACTCCCAATAAACTGTAAATGTCCTGGTCTGTTGTTGGCAAAATTCACCAATCTGAGTAAAGCCCACACCCTCAATTTCAGATCTACATCCCTTTCTTCTGTTAATAAGATGCGTTTATTAATAAATAGAAGAGAGAAAATTTTAAATTAACACAAAATACTTAGACAACAAAACTGTTCTTGCTCATTCATCTGTAAAAGGGAGAGAGTCTGTTAAGTAGATTTGACTGCTATGAAGAGCCTCTTCCATTCATGCCCTGACTCTTGGGGGTGGGTCTGCAGTACAGCAGTCATGAGTCCCAGAACTGACCCCCGCAAGCATACCTGCTTCCCCCCTGCAGTCATCCCCAGGGACCTCTTTGAAGTATCCTGGAGCCTGAGGTCTCAAGAGCGTCTGTGAGGTGATGATGCTCCAGCAGCCTTATTGGTGCATATCTGGGTGGGGAGAAGAGGATGGACAGGGTGGGCTTCAGGCATCTGTGCCAGGACACACTGCCACCAAAGGTAGACATAGTCATGCATAATCTTTTATGGATTGTACCAGAGTTATATGCTCCAAAGAATTAATGAAGTGGGGCCATACCGTTGTTTCAACCACCTGTGATTGCAGCACAGAGCCTCAGAATCTGCAACACCTGCTGCAATTCCTGCTGCTTGAAGGCACATGCACAATGAAAGACCTCACAAAATGTAATAAATGAGCACGAGCATGTGTAACAAAATGGTCAAATGTGGTGAAAAAACAAGATCTTGTATTGTTTGTTAGTCATAGCATTAATAAGTGTGTGTGTGTGTGTGTGTACGTACACTCTGAATATATATTTAATCTATGAATACATATTTGGGGATTTACTGCACACCATTAAGAAATCAAGTACTATATTCTGTCACATACACATGCCCCATATAAAGAACATGCCTTGTTTTTGGAAGGCAGAAAGGAGGAAAAGATTTTTCCAGTCAGCCAGCTGTGTCCCATAACCTATGTAACTCACGTAAAAACATTTTATCAGATAGATGTATGTTGTTCCTACTTTTACATGTGCTATTTCTCCAGCTTGTCTTTTTCAGGGTGTGTAAAAGTAGGACTGTCTCTGAATAGCAAAAATTTTAGCAAGATGTTGCAGACTTGTCCATACCAGTGTGATCGTCACAGAGTCATTCTGGAAGCTGAGGAGAGATACAAAGAGAAACTAAAGAAACTGGCTTTCTGTAACAACAGTAGTTCTACACCTTATCAAAGTAATCATGAGAAATTATTGTAATACATAAGGGAGTAGTTTAAGATGTATTGGTTGTTAGTAAGTTAGATCAGAATCAGACTCAGCCAAATGCTTTTACACCCACTTAACTGGATCTAGTCATAACAGTGTGAGGTCAGAATCAGACCCTGAGTCCCTGGAAAGAGCAAGTATAATAGAGCTTTTCTGTCTGTATTCATTAGTACTGGTTGTATGTTCTCAATATGAGGATGAGGCCAACTGTCTGTCTCCTTAGTCAGTCCCTGCCTATAGCTATCGGGGACAGGAGAATGAAATAATGTAAAATACAAATGAATGGGTTTATGATGGTACAGCGAGAGCATGTTGTTTTAATATCACCTCCTCAAGGATGCAAGAAGCTTATACATCTTGACTAAGATGTTGGGTTTTTGCTGGTAAAAAATTCTAAGGATTTTTAGAATGTAGCAGTTTTTTAAATGTTGGCATTTATGCTGACAACATAATTGTCCTTTACTTTCCAGAAATAGTCTTGACCCCAATTAAGAAAGGAAGCCTGAATACAGAGTCATCGACCTTCAGAAGCAGAATTTCACAGGAAAGTCTCCAAAGTAAGCCTAGTCTTGCAGCTTATGCTCATGCAAATAGCCCTTACTATATGTATAGTTCTATTGTACTTGAACACATGGGTAACTTCATTATGAAATTCTCTGGATAGACATTGTTTTCTTTTATAATGTGCTCTGCAACATTATCCCTCACTGTACCATTTTAATTTTAAATAATTAGTATCTCATTTCTGTGGAGCAGAAGCCAGAGAAACCCATTGCAGGATTTTTGCTTTTACTAGAAAACAAGTCTTGTTCCATCTCAAAACTGGTCTGGAGTACAGTATCTGCTCTGTGTAATCCCTAAGGCCTCAAGAATACTGGTTTTATAAACCTTGTTTATTTTTTCCCTTCATCCTTAGTTTTATTTTCAAATATATCATACCTCATTGAACTGGCTCTCTTTTCACTTGCATTACTGTAATACTGTTGTTTTCAGTAGGTTTAAATATAATTTAAATGGTTTAAGTCAGTGTTTCTCAATCTTTTTAGAGTCAGAGCACCTGTCCACCACTTTTTTGAATGTGGCGGCATCTCCAGTTGAGAATCACTGTTGTGCTGCCTTAGCTTACCTTAGTGGTTCTCATCTTGGTGCCACTGCCTGATAAAACTGTCCTGTATGTCTTGTGCACAGCCAGACTAGGAACCGCTGCTGCACATGTGTGCTCCTCCTGCATTAGGGTTCTCTAATAACCCTAAAGCAGGCAGGAGAGCTAGTTTGTGCTGCAGCCCTTTGTAGTGTGACCTTGCATGGTATCTTTCTGAAACGGAAGCACAGGAGGCAGGTGAAACTGTCCCACACACCTCTATTTCTGAAAGGAGCATGGCAGGGAGCAGGGGGTTTGGACTGGGAAGGGCTGCAGCACAAGCTAGCTCTCCTGCCTGTTTTAAGATTAGCAAAGAACTATAATGCAGGAAGAGGGCACACACTTCTTCAGCCCTGCAGGTAGGGCAGTTTTACTTAACCATAGCAGCAGTAGCACCTACATCACTACAGCCCTGAGGGGGTCTTGTGATACCTTGGTTGAGAGCCACTGGTGAATTGAAATCCATAATAATGGCAAGTTGCAGCATGTAAGAATGTTCTTACCAGCTCTATCTATGGATATTCTAAAAATTAACACTCCTATATCCATACTTAAACTCTTAAAAGGGTGGCCAGATTTTTAATAATGCTGAGTATGCATTACAGTTTACTAGTCCTCTGCACTTTTAAAAAGCAAGTCACTTATTTGAGAGCATAACTTTAGGCTCTTATTTTGAACATCTTGCTCTATATTACTGTCCACAATTTCCAAATCACTGATCATTTATTAGCTAAGTGGTCTATCTCTTCTCCAGATTCCCAATTTGATTATTTCATTCACACATATTGCCAGCAGAAGCTTTTTCCAAGTTACTGTCTACATTTATCTTAACAATTCATAACTGATATGACAGGGCTTCTGGGAAACAAATTGTTCTGAGGTAATCACTCAGATTGGAACAATTTTTCTTCTTATTCCACAGGTTCTTTCCTTAAATTCTAATTCCTAAATGTTACCTTGTTTTTGTTGTGTTGTGTAGGAAAAAAAATAACATGTTATTATTTTAAAAGGTATTCTTTTGACTCCAATGAAGAAAGCCAAAACTGGTAGGTCAAATGGAAATGTCAAGCTGAACAAAAATATTCAGTTGCCAGAAAAGTATGATCTTATAGCTACATGTCCAAAAAGTAAGTAATACTATACAGTGAATTACATAATTTAATATGGTTAAATGATGCCTCTAGTTAACAGCTTTGAGATCGCCAGATCTGTGTGTACTACTGAGAGAACTTAATATGATATATGCTAGTGTATATCAACTTATATTGACATGTGGGTTTGGTCTTCTGTCATCTATAAGTTGCTTCTACTGCTCATAAGATGATACCTTGCATATTTAATGCCACAGTAACTCTAAAGTAGCTTTAGTGCTAGGGAAAAAGATGCTTTCTTGGATTATTTGAAGATTAGACTTTTACATCATTCATTTTCCCATTTCTTAGATCTACTGCTGCTTTACAAGTACTATGTTTAGTTGTACAGTAGACCTGTTAGGTTTAATTAACACATCACAACTTCATAGTTCTCCAGACAGACCAAGACAATAACTTGAAAAGCCAGAAAATCAAAGAGGTTCACCAGACAGATCACGAGAGCCTGAATGGAAAACGTGTCTACTCATTTGATGAAGATGAGGTAAGTTTTAGACAGTCAGATAGTACTGTTACAGATTTATATACAAATCACTGTAAAATCAATGGGAGTTATTCTTTTAACAAAATAGTCTTAGGCAAGAGACCAGCACCAAGAAGCATGACCCAAATGATCTCATTGTAGGCAGGTCCATCACCATTGACTTCAGTCTGGTTACACCAACTGGGACATACTAAGTTTTGCTTTCATTTTCTATAGTTAATAATTTCTACCATGTTTTTCAGCTCCAGTCAAGAAGCTAGGCAGACACCAGTTTGGAGCCTGACCTTGGAAACCATGTAATACCCTTGACTCCCATTAAAAATGAAGGGAATTGAGAGGACTGCACCATGAAGGCAGTAACCAACAAATTTTCCTGATTTAAAAAAAAAAAAAAAAAGGGTTGGTGCATGGTTGTCCACAGTTGATGCTACAGCTTCTGAGCTGTCTTTGTGACTGCAGACTGATAGTGCTGATACTTTGCTTTAAGACATGATTGTGGAAAGAATTTTTCCTGTATATTCTTGTTTAACCTTTCTGTTCAATTATCTGTACATATGGATTCCACTCATTTTGCACATGTGCTCTCTGCACAGAAGTTTGGAGAGTTTCATCAGCACTGTCTGTGAGGGGTCCTGTATGCACCTTGCATGTTCTTAAATTAGTCCTCCTGGGGAAAAAATGGGGCCACTCGGCTGCTACTCATTTCCTTTAACCATCCATTGGTCTTGAGTTGGAGCAGCCTTTTCACTGTCCCTTATCTAAGTGCAGCTTGTAAATGCTTTTTCACATTTAAACCCACTGGCATCCCACCCCCCATTTGTTATAGAGTTGATACAGATTTGGGTACAGGTAGTCCTCAACTTGTAACGTTTCGAGTTGCAACATTTTGCACTTATAATGTTTATAAATTGACATCCTGTTTCAACTCTCTGACATCAGTTTTGACTTTACAAAACTTGATCTGACGCCAAGCCAAACCAGCAAACAAGTTTGCTGCATCACCCATCTACCTGGAGAACATATATCCAAACTTCCTTGGACGCTTTCTTGAAGAAAGCACACAAGACTCCAGAAAAACCTGCAGCCAAGACTCCTAAGAAGACTCCGGCCAAGAACCCTTCAAGAAGTCCAACCAAGAGCCCTTCAAAACGTGCAGCAAAGTCTCCTCAAAAAAGTCCTTCCAAATCAATACGATTGCTATTTACAATATAAATACATTAAAGTAGCTATATTACTCATCTTTAATTGATTAAGTACAAAATTCTGGGTTATTTTTGGTGAAAATAGGGTATTGGGCCTTGATTCAGGAACCAATCCCCCACTTACAACATTGTTTCCTATGGGAAAATTGGTTCAGATTTGCAACATTTTGACTTAAGACGTGGTTTTCAGGAACCAATTGTGTCATAAGTCTGAGGACTACCTGTACTTGGTACCAGTGCATACCACTTTTATGACTGAATCTCAGTCTTGATAATTCCTCTAAAGGATGGGAAGAATTATTAGGGGAGAATCATAGTTGTGGTTTGCAAGTTGACCAAGAAGCACTTGTAAGAAACAATGGGAGAGTCCTTCCTGGCAGCATCTGATTTACAGACTGCTGAGTAAGATGAAGTGCCAGTCTCAACAGCTAAAATTTAGACTGCAAGTAGTCCAGTGACTACAGCGATCACTGAGTTCCAGTAGATGAAACAGAGTTCAGTTAGTAACAAGAAGCTCAGAGGCTCTCACAAGCACTGCTTGAGGTCAGGGACCTCCACTGCCTGTGCAAGTTAGGTCTGTAGTTCCACATTGTTGTCTTGGCACTGGTCTTCTTCACTGGTAACCAGGAAGAAAATAACTGTTAGTCACTCAAAGGATTAATCCATGTCAGCACCAGTCAGAGCTGCATCAAGTCTGTCACCGTGTTGGGATTGCAACATTCAGTACCAACTAGCACTTCCAGCTTGAGCTTCATATGGCACTGAGACATAGGACTGCTTCTCACTCAGTAATGCCATCACACTCTCTATAACTATGACTTCTGCTCTCTTTCCCAGCAGAGTTCAGAGCAGTTAGAATCTCCTCTGCTCAACCTGTTCTATGTTGTTTATATTCAAGTCTCTTCCAGTTCCTAGCAGGATTTGGACACCAGAGCCTCCAAAAGAGGTTCAGAGATTGCATCTAAATCAATCTTAAACATGGATTATGGTCACAAACTGATGCTAAACAGCACGTGAACATCATTAAAAAAAATTAAAAGCAATTCAGCTGCCATGCAAGGGAATGGAAAAACAGTTTAAAAACTGACAAACTAAAGGGTGCAAAAAGTTGAGATTCAGGATCAAATAACATTCTAGTCTCTTTAATTGACATATTTCTTTTTCTGTTTCCAGTGATTTTCAGGATCCTGAGGAAGGTGAGACTGGATGGAACTCATGTAATCCTAATAGCTCCTATGCAGCCTCACCAATTCTGGTTTCCACATCTACTTCTGTCCAATAGTCAGTCCCTAATGCCTTTCCAAAAGGGCATAATCTTATAGAACTTTAGTTTTATTCTGTATCCTGATTCAGTTTCTCTGTACCTCACTGTGTGGGTGCTATATGGATGACTTATGCTGCACAAAAGGTAGCCCTTCACTATAAAGATATACATAGCATAGTAGAGATATTTTTCATCTTGGTCTGCTCTCCAAAGTGAGACCAATTTCAGCTAAAAGGCCATTGGATTACATCAGAACAGCATATTATATTAAATAAGTTAAGTTTTTGACTTGCATAAGAGCTCATTCAGTCAGGCCCAGGCTGCTTCTTGAGCATACATTACCAGCATCCATGCATTCTGATTTGCTGAGTGGCTACATAGTGCATATGTCTACCAGTCATTATATGATGGTGTCAGAGTAGACATCAAACTAAGGAAAGTAGTTCTACAATCATTATTCAGGTGAAATCTTAGTTCCCACTGCCCAGAGGACCTTACTACTTACTAAAGGTGCACTGATACTTTGGTGCCATATTGAATCAGCATTGATATAGGGAAAATTGACAGTATTGGCAAACTGCTTTTTTTGGCTGGTATGGCCGATAATTCCACTGATTAAATGTCCCGTGCATGCACATAGCTGCAGCATCCATGCGGCCAGGAGCTTAGCCTGGTGGCTTGGAGACCAGCATCTGGCTGGTAATCTGTTGTGGGAGAAGGGGCAGGGGGACAGAAGGGGCATGGTGGGGGGAGATTAAGGCCCCTGTGAGGGAGGGGCTGGGGCAGGCACTGCCTAGCTGGGGTGTGGTGTGAGATGGAGCTGTGAGCAGCTCATCCAGTGGGGAGGTGACTCTTGCCGCTGCAGGCACCACGGGAGGGCATGGGGGGGGTGTGCCACCAGATCTGCACATGGGGTGAGGCAGGCTACCACTGTGGGCTGGTGCTGGGGCGGCACCAGGCTCTTCCTGGCCAGGGTCTGGGCTGGGCTGCACTTGGGGTGGACAGCAGTGGCACTGGGAGAGGGAGTACAGTGAATTCTTGGGTGGCTGCAGACCCTTCCCCCCATCACATAGATCCCCCTCCCAGCACTGCTGCCACCCACCTTGAGCGCAGCCCTGGCCCAAACCCCTGCCAGGAAGAGCCCAGTGCTGCCCCAACCCCAGCGCACAGCAGCAGCCTGCCCTGCCCTGCACACAGATGTGAGGGCATGGCCCCCCCTTGCCTTCCCAGGGAGCCTGCAGGAGCGGGAGCTGTCCTTTCCCCCCGCACTCCTGGACGAGCCATGACTTTCCTGTGTCCTGCATTGACTGGGCAGTGCCTGCCCCAGCCCCCACTCTGCTTCCTCACTCACTGCAGAGACCTCAATCTGCCCCCACATGTCCCTTCCTTTCCTCCACCCCTTCCCCCACAACAGACTTACTAGCCTGACGCTGGTCTGCAGCCTGCCTGGCTGCATATTGGAATCAGATCGGAATTTGCTGATACGCCTCCTTAAAAATCAGCCATCGATATCGGCCCAAAAAATCTGTATTGGTGTACCCCTGCAACTTGCTGATTACCATGAGTGGAAACCTTGTGTACAAGTACTCCAAGAGAAAGAAACAGGTACTTATGCCACAGTAACTGTTTTTTCAAGAAGTTCTATACCTGTGGATCTCATATCTTGCCCTCCATTCCCACAGCTTATCTGGTCTTATCTGGATCCTGAGTGATGAAGAAACTGAGTAGTAAGTGTTACTCTTATGTCCTTTTGAGGAGGAGCAAATGGCCGTGGAGGGTGCTTGCATGGCTCCTCATGGGCACTGCTAGTAAAGGCTTTGTGAACTAAGTGGGATCCATACATACAGAACATCTTGAAGAAACAGAGTTACTCTAAAGACATGTCTACACTGCAAACTTGTCATACCAGAGTTGTGTCCTCAGAACATGGCTCTGCTCCAGGTGGGCTACTTCCTGAAACAGAGATGGTGTAACCACTTTCATGCAGTGCTGCAGGCAAGCTGGATAGCACAGCTATGTGTTAAAGGGTAAGCTTGCAGTGTAGCTGTGGCTTGAGGCAGGTAACTGTTTCTTCAGAATTTATTTTAAAAATTATAATTGAGACTTGCATTATTTTTTTTCACTTTGTTAGCATATAATTTTACGTGATTTCTAAATAAATCAAAATAAATACTTACAGAGTAATGAAAGTCCTTCATTAGCTATGCACACAGGAACTTTACAAAAGAGGCAGCGAAGACCCCGGAAAGATTTTACAACTGAAGAAATAAACTATCTTTTGAATGGTGTAAAGAATATGGGCAATCACTGGAATTTAATTTTATGGTCCTACCCATTTCAGAAAGGACGGACAAATGTTGATCTTGCCAAGAAATACCACAGGCTACACATGCATGTAATTGAAATGTAATTTTCTACTAATCCTTTATATTTGAACTCTAGTTAGTTTTAACTTTAACGTCTCCTCCACATTTTCTGTTTTACGGTGACAGAGACCCAGGATGAGATTTTTGTGCTGTGCTTCTGAGGCTCATCACTAAATTTGCACCTGGGGGGGAGAGGGAGGGAAGATGGGCTAAGGTTGCTTCAAGCCACCTTTCTTCCCTCCCAGTATTGGACTGCTCTGAAGGTCAGAATTGCCCTTGGTTTAACAAAGACAACCCTAGGGCAAGATAATATTTGTAGGTAATATTTTTACTGTGTTTTTAACATGTACTCCTCTACATAAGTGCTAAGTTGTAGGTGTCTTTCTTTTAATTCTTTCTTGTTTTTGTCTTGACGTTTCTTTTTTTTCCTCCATTTTACAGATGAAGAAACAAAGTAAAGAAGATCATTAACCTGTTTCTGGAATGCTTAGTATTCTGTCAAAGAATTTGAAAGAACAAAATTAATAGTATAAATGGCATTTAGGTAATGCTTATGTGCATATTACAGATGTTACTTAAATTATTTAATTCTTTATATTTTACTAGCACTGAAAAAAACAAAAGCCTAGTATTCACCTGCAAGAATAGTTTTGTTTTGCAAGCTTAAATGTAATTTTAAATTTATTAGGTACATTATAATTGTGAAAATGCTTATGTAAAGTACACTTTATACCAATAAAATAGAAACACATTTGCTTTATCAGAAAACCTGAAAAATCTCTCTAACTTGACCCTGTTATGCTCAAATAGGATACATTTGCTTGCTTTAAACTTTGATTTAAAAAAAAAGCAAAAAAGAAAAGTAATATATAAACAGGACTATGCTAATGAGGTTGTTTTTACTGATGAACGTTAAGTGAAGTTTTTCAGTTCTCTGCAACAAATTTTGTTTGTTCTATACTGATACTGAGCCTTAGTAGATGGCTTTTCAGTGAGTATGTAAACACTGGTCAGTGGTCTTACAAGTAGTTATCATAGCAGCCCTTTCATCCATATCCACATTGTGTTACTTAGTATGTGATTAGGCTATCTTTGTTATCCTCACTGTTATATAAGACCTCACATTATCTTTCATTTCATAGTTTATTGCTTTCTTTTTGATTCTGGAGTACTGAAATGTAGTCAGAACAATCATTCCCCTTTTCAGATTTAGGTTCAGTTATAGTCTTTAAGAGAAAAAACAGTATTTTCTGTTTCTTTTGCCAGCTCAGGCTTTTTGGAAGCTTTTGATTTTGAAACTTCATCATGATCTTTAATATTGGAGTCATTCGGATTATCCACTTCATTCTCAGTAGCAGATTTTACTCCCTGTCCATCTTTCAGCAGATCTCAACCCCTCTCTGCTGATCCTTCTGTGCTTTGCTGTTACACCAAGTTGCTTGGACAATGCTCCCCAGAGCTTCAAGTCCTTCTATAGTGATCACTCTAATATCTTACCAGATGCATTTGAAATTGTAGCCATTTCTTTTAGATGTTATTTTCACCAAAACTACATATATTCTGTTTGCCATTAATGCTTTTATCCAGTTCAATGAAATCTTCATAGTTCTCGCTACTAAGCTGCTGTCCAATCTTTTTTCTTTTACTTTTGGGTATTTTTCTGTTTTCTCAAATTTGCATTGAACAAGTGAAATCACCATTTAGAGAGAGCAAAGGGCTAACAAGCGATTCTTTGCCTCCCTTTTTTCCCAATAGCATCAGAACAAGACTGTCATAAGTGTCTACATTACTATCTTATACTTCTGAGGAGAGGCTGAGGGAACTGGGCTTATTTAGTCTAGGAAGGAGAAGCATGAGGGGGGATTTAGTAGCAGCCTTCAACTACCTGAAATGTGGTTCCACAGTGGGTGGAGCTGGACTGTTCTGAGTGGTAGCAGATGACAGAACAAGGAGCAACGGTCTCAGGTTGTAACAAGGGAATATTCGGAAACACTTTCTCACTAAGAGGGCAATAATGCACTGTAACAGGTTACCCAGACAGACCGGTCTATCCTTGGAGGTTTTTAAGAACCAGCTAGACAAAGTTTGGCTGGGATGATATAGTTGGGGATGGGCTTGCTTTGGGCAGGGAGTTGGACTAGATGATTTCCTGATGTCCCTTCCAACTGTAATTTTCTGTGATTCTATGATCTTCATCTTTTGTGAGAAACAGTGAGAAATATTTGTACAAGTGTACCAGGATGGATTGGCATACATTATGGCATTTTAAATTGGCAGTCCTAAAGCATGCTATAAAACATCAAGTGGAAAGCAGTTTTTCTAAGAAAGATGCCTTCTCATTGGTTAATATAACCACTAAACAATGCAGATTTGAAAACTGAGAACTCAGAGAAGCTATAAAATGGTTATGAGAGCCCCTGAATGGATGATCCTGATAAGATGCATGATGTTTTCTTGAGTCGGAGGCTGGGTCCCAATGCCTACAATGGCTTTGCAAGTCTCTTGCCCCCTCTGGACCCCTTGAAAATTTTATGACTGATTTGTGGCATTTTTATGAAGTTTGATCTCAAAAGTTAGATATTTGTTCCCCTGAATCTCTTTTTATAGAAAATCATGCAGCCTAGAACTCAAAGCTTTAATAAGAGGCTCATTGACTCAGTATATATGTTACTTTAAATGGCGCCAAGATTATACATGAGTAGTTTCTTTAAAATGCTCTGCACAAAAAGTCCTTTGAGAAGGTCTGAAATGTTGGGAGGGGGAGCTGGTGTGTCCGGGTTGAGGTTACCTCTAGTTCCTGTCTGATATTAATGGCTGGGGAGCTGTCCAGAGTACTGCGCGAGCTGAGCGTGGTGTTAAACTGCAGCACTCGGCTGGGATCTCACTTCTCTTCTAGCAGAACTTGTTTCATGACCACTCCTGGAATGAAGCAGCCGCACGCCTTGCTCTGAATATCTAGGACTTGAACCATGCTCTGGATGTAGGAGGATCCTGCCTTTTTCACTGACCAGCTTAATATTTCATTTTTGGTTTTAGCTTGTTAGGTAAATGAGGTTACCACAGGGATCATTTTATGTTCCACTTAGGTCTGGCCTTCCTCTACGTACTACTTCTGGCTGCTTCACTCGCACCTGACTTAAAAACCAGTTCAGGAACTGGAAGCTAGTCTTGTTCCTGTGGGTTTTTGCTGCTGAGACCCTCTCGGTCCTCGCAAGGGGAAGTGCAACAATTGTCGGGTCACGCAGCAGGGATCTTGTTGAACTGAACAGGAACAGCATCAGCATCTTTCTCCAGGGGGTGATCACTAGGGGTCCTGGTTTTCTCCAATTTAAAAAAATCCCCAATTTTCAGTTTAAAAAAAAAGTAACCCCCAGTCCACATTTTTCCATGATTCAAACAAAACATTACTCTATATATCTATATATAAATAAATTGATATATAGATATAGATTGATGTAATAGATATATCTCTATAGAGATATCTATCTATTAGTAGCGGTTAATTTGAATCATTGAAAATTATGGATTTAGGATTACTTTTTTTAATCGAAAAGTGTGGGATTTTTTTTAAACCAGAAAACCAGCAGGATCCCTGGTGATCAGAGACGTGGGCCCAGGCACGTGCGCGGCGGGCCCACCACCCTTGTGTCGGCGGCGCTGGGACCGGGCGGGCGCTAAGAGGTGCTGGGCGGCGGCGCGGACTTCTCACTCCGAACAGGGGACCCCCCCCCCCCCACTCCCACCCTGCTATAGCTACCCGCGGCGCTGCCTGACTGAAACGGAGAGCCGGCGGGGCTCCTCCTCCCCGCCCCGCCCAGGGCTCCTTCCGCTTGGCCGCGCAGCGGCGCCCGCTTGCGGGCCGCCGGGAGGTAGTTCCTCGCGGAGCAGGCGCCAGCGTGGGCAGCCTGGGC